GATGATGATGATGATGATGATGATGATGATGATGATGATGATGATGAGGATGTGTCTAGCCTGTAACCACACGTAATCTTAAGACCCTCTTCGTTTGGCCCATTTCCCTGCTAGTATACAGCGTTCATTTAGTTTTTCTCTCAGTTGCACCTGAGGAAGCCCACGAGGCGATACGTTGAGCCATTAAACAAATTCTAAACATTTTATACTGTTTTGCTATTTTGTCTAAAATTCATACAAGACTCTCCCTCCTACTCTACTTTCCAAACAATGATGATGATGATGATGATGATGATGATGATGATGATGATGATGATGATGAGGATGTGTCTAGCCTGTAACCACACGTAATCTTAAGACCCTCTTCGTTTGGCCCATTTCCCTGCTAGTATACAGCGTTCATTTAGTTTTTCTCTCAGTTGCACCTGAGGAAGCCCACGAGGCGATACGTTGAGCCATTAAACAAATTCTAAACATTTTATACTGTTTTGCTATTTTGTCTAAAATTCATACAAGACTCTCCCTCCTACTCTACTTTCCAAACAATGATGATGATGATGATGATGATGATGATGATGATGATGATGATGATGATGATGATTTTTGTTGTTGTTATTCTATTATTTTCTCCTGAAACATCTATTTGCTTTCTAGCCTTAGAACAAGAAAATATAACATCCTGTTGACTTTTTTCCCTTTTAAGACAAAGGCAGAGGCCTATTGAGAAGCCTCTGAAAAGGGAAGTTAGTTGTTTGAAATGTAAAAGAACCCAGTTATAACTTGTAGCGGACATTTTAAAACTTCATTTGCGAATGTCACGAACAAGGGTCACCCTTTGTTGTCTACAAACCTGCCCTCTCTCGTGGCACGTGTGCATTATTGATGTGTACTCCGCTCTTCCTCTAAGATGTGGCCTGGATTCTTCTGTTGTGTTTGTTGGAAGCGACTGACGGCTCAGTAAAAAGCCAACGCCCACCCCAGAGTTCGAAAAGGTCAAAGAACATCGGACTTGTTGAGGTAGTTTCTTCAATCTTTTAAAGAAGACTTCAGAAATGTTAGTGCTTCGGAAGGGGGGGCGGGGGTTGTTATGTTTTGTTTTTGTTTGGTGGTTTGTTTTTTGTTCGTTCGTTTGTTGTTGTTGGGTTTTTTGGGGTGGTGGGGGTGGGTGGAGAGGTTAATTTGTTTTGTTTTGGTTTTTAGTTGTTTTTTTATTTATTTCTTTTTTTTTGGGGGGGGGGGGGTGACTTGAGAGTAAACCCTCTACATAAATGTTTGATTG